CGTCAGCCCCTCAACTGGAAGAAGAACTTTGGTTTACTGTAAGATGCAGTTGAGGACTAAGCTAGACTATAGGTAAAGCACGAACCAGATCAATTAAAACTGATCACTCTATCTAACTTTATCAAAGCTGTTCTGTCATGCTTTCAGAAGCGCATCCAAGATCTACGACGTACATACAACGCACGGGTTTCTGGCATTTTCAAAAATCCCAATGATGTAGATGTTATATCCTTTCTTTTTAACAACCATTGTATTATTCCTGCAGAAAAAGTCTGAACAAATATTGTTAATATATGCAAACATCAAAGTTTTGAATGTTCTATTACAGTATATCTAACCGGCAGTGTCAATCAGATGTGGACAATTATGTTTAAATTCGAAGATCTACTCCAATATTTTCAATTAGAATTTACAAGATTGCGGTAGTATCAAAACCTGTAATTTGTTTATGCTGTACAATACAACAATTTTTCCTGCAAAAATTGGAGCATAGATGCCCATTCCTTGCTTAACGGCACGAAAAATCTTACCTTGAGAACAACCACACTGATTCTTACAAAATAATTTAACGAAGATGAAATAAATAAAGTGCTGGATATGTGTGACCGATAACTTATTTGTTGGGTTTGTCGAATTGATATTTCAGTAGACAGTCATTATTTTAAATGGATACCACTACTTACAAACATGTTTTGTACTCATATAAAGCAGAATTCAACAGAACCTTCACAAAGGCAAAAATAGCTTATTGCAAAGTATTTTTAATTTCACATTCAGATATATGGATGATGTCCTGTCACCCTATTACCTACATTTGAATAAATGCTTACATCTCAGATATCCCGATGAACTGGATATTATGGATACTTCCAAAAGTAGAAGGTCTGCTTCGTATCGTTATCTTTTACTCTATGTTGACACAGATGAACGATTTGAAAATTAGAATCTATGACATCTTTCCAATTGACAATGTCTCATTTCTCAGCACACAAACAGCTCCGTCGTCCGTCGTATGGCGTTTATGTATTTCAGTTAAAACGTTACACTGTTGCATGTTCACACTATACGGACACATAAACAGCGTCAACTGAGTTTTGATTATAAATTGACACTACATTAATTTTACCGTCCCCATTTTGGATTGGATAAATGATATCGATTAATTAGTGACTATACTCACTAGCGACATGTTTTTGCGGTCTTATTACGTTAGATACCAGTAAAGACCTATTGTGTCCTATTCCCGATTGTGACATTTTGACAAAGGGAGGATACACACGGGGAAACGATGCACGCATAGCAGGAAATGTTTACCCTGTCGACGAACACAGTCTATCATACGATCCCTCAGTGTTGTCTGTTATTTTGATTTGTTTTTTTCATATTCGATTTACGAGATTTGAACATCGGAAGAACTACTGTTGCTTGTATTTGTACTGATTTCGTAGTAAGTTAAAATCCTAGTAATTATTTTGGAGGAGTCCGTAGGTAGCCTAGTGCAAGTCATCTCTGTCTTAATGAAGCCTCTTCAAAATGAACAAATAAAAATAATAAAATACGGTATACACATTATTTTCTCCGGATGAGAAAAAGGGTATGGTTCATTAATTTGTTAACTTTATGTTTAGGTGTAATACCACCATTGATTTTTCCCTATTAGTCTTTGTTAAATTTGCCCTTTTCAAAAAATTGTGCAGAATTTCTTTGTTTCAAATAAAGAAATACTTTGCATGAGTAAAGTTTTACCCTGTCAAGTACTATAGTCAAAATTTCACATAACATCTCATTGCATATAAGAAAAAAGCGATCACTGCAAGTTAACCAATCAAATTTGTTCACCCCTTTTTTCCTGTGTACAAGCTTTAGTAACCATGTAACCTCAAGTTTCCAAAATATTCTATAGAAACACCAAATAAAAAAAAAAATAATGGTGCTTTGAACCTCCCAAGATATATGTTTATGACTCAGAGATTTTTTACTGCAATGAAATATAGGACTTATTTTCACACCTGTCAAATTCAAGGGAATATTTTTGTTCGACCCTTTCTCGTATGCAACCGGATGTGACGTACTATGAATAGGTGGTATTACACCTTAACCGGGAACTTCTCAAACACTTTTTGTAACTTATATAACTCATGATCAAGCTCAAGTGACATGAAATAGCTTTCAATTGATAAGTTCAAAGTCACTTTCGGTCATAAAGCTACTAAAGTCATAGTGTTTTTGCCGGGTTTCGTGTTAACATGAAGACTATTTCGACCAAAGTCGTCTGACGCCCAATATTTATAAAGCATTTCTTTTAAATTTAAATATATTCGATTTCCCAAAATACCCGGACAATTCTACAAGCTTTTCAAAAAGCTGCGGTCAATAATCGTATTTAAAAAAATATGAGTTGATACAAAAACTCTAAAGAAATTCCCTTATCTAGTCTGAAAAAATAATTGAGTAGATAATTAAGTAATACCCACAATATTTTTACGTTTAAGAAGGTCAACAATAACTTGCTTTATATCCACTCACAGTTTGATTTTCGACAGTTATCTATTCGTGTGACCATTAAAAAATTTGTTTGCATCTACTTAATTTCTTCACAAATTTAAAACCATTGTCACGGCTGTCATTCGGTAGACTGAGAACAAAAAAGCTTTTGTATTGTAGTAACAGTCAGTATATTACAACATTTTCAATTTCCCGATAAAATACAACACAGAGTAAAATATATATAAATATAAGAGAGGGACGAAAAATACCAGAGGGACAGTCAAACTCATAGATCGAAAATAAACTGACAACGCCATGGCCAAAAATAAAAAGACAAACAGACAAATAATAGTACAGATGACACAACATAGAAAACTAAAGACTAAGCAACACGAACCCCACCAAAAACTTGGGGTGATCTCAGGTGCTCCGGAAGGGTAAGCAGATCCTGCTCCACATGTGGCACCCGTCGTGTTGCTTATGTTATTACAAATCCGGTAAATAGTCTAATTCGGTAAGTCACATTCGTGAAAAGGGAAGGGTATTGTAGTTACGACATAAGGAACATATTCGATATCATCTGTGAAACGGTTATTTCATAACGGTCAACCAACTCGTGATGGCGTCCGTATAAGGGTATACAAAAAAAAACCAACACTATTAAAACCTCATGGAACGCCAAAAGCCAAAAATCTGAAGGCTATATGCACATTATATACCGACCCACGTCAAGAGTCATAAGACCACATATTGTTTAGACGTACTTATCAAATAATTATTTCTGTGACTGCATCTTGCGATCCTTTACGATAGATAATTTAGCTAATCTGCAATCAATTCCATCTTCACGCCTAATATATCATGTACTGTGTTACAACTCTAGATTCTACTGACGAGGAAAGGTAACACTAAACCACCGAACGCTGAATTTTTAGTTCAGTATAGGTAGCCGAGTGGTCTAGAGCGCTGGACACAGTGCAGGTGGTGTTGTCACGATATCCCAATAGCATGAGTTCTAATCCCGGCGAGGGAAGAACAAAAAATTGTATCCGCAAATTTGCAGATTTAACATTGTTGTGCTAATATTAAGAGTAATTGTGAAAATAATATGTGTTTTCAGCCGTGAATCACCTTCACTGGTGATCCACTTGATGGATCTGTCGTAGAGTTGTAAAAAGATTGTTGAAAAACTATTTAGCCTGTGTACCTTTTGTTATTAAGTTGTTTGAAGATATCCCACCCTTTACTTTTTAAATGCATGTACTAAAATGTAAAAGACAACTCACAATTGTTTAACATATGCCGTGTCTTTGATTCATTTACAACATGAATTATTAGTTGTTGGGATTCTATTATTAATAAATAAAAATCGATTTCAAGCGGGAAATTTCTAAACAGGAAGTAGCAATATAATCTCTGTTAGAAACCTTTACATGACCTTAAATCAAAAACATGAAACACTCATACTTTAATTTTGTTTTGTAGTGTTGTTTGTTATTTGCCATCATCAATATAACTTTGTTACAATCATAACATTAAAATGTTTGTTTCAAATTTTTGGTTAACCAGATAGTAAACATCGAAAAAAGAGAATAAAAAAGAAATTCTCTTTTTCAAATTGAATGCATTAAACGTTTTCAAAACAGTTACACATTTTAGGTTCGTTTAGAATATAATATTTTTTCAATTAATATCAAGAATAAGTAAATGCAATTTTAATATTGGCTGAAAATACCAAAACACTTTCTTAAAATCGAAAACGTTATGTCATGTACTGATCTACCTTTTCATAATTGATGATCTTGATAAGTGTAAACACTGAAATTACTATTGATTGTTAACACAGATGTGAAAGATGCAAATGGGACATTCAAACACGTAAGTCTAAAACAAACTGACAATGTCGTTGGTATAATTTTTAACTCAATAAACGTTTTTGAAGGATGTTTTACTGTTGGATAAAGGTCATCACAATAGAAATACTCATACCTCCTTTCATTTTTACTTGACTATTGTATGGGTTCTAATAAAATACGGAAAACCTCTAGTGGTCCAAATCCTTTTTTGATAATTTAGTGCTCACAGTTCAGACTTAAAGGGCCGCTCGTTGTTCAATGTTTCTCTTTTGGAAAAACATGGTATTTTCAAACATGTCTTTAGGGACAAAAGGAACTTATTGTGTATTGTTCTTGAGTTACAGTCTACATGGTCTATTGTAATTTAGCATAATTTTACACAGAACTATACCGCATTTCTTTCTTAAAGTTACAGCACATTCCATTTCTAGCTTGCTTTGTTTTTTCATTATTGTTGATTTAGGTTTAAAAAGTAAATTTTAAACCAGACGTAATATGTGATCGGCTTAAGTTTGATTTGATTGCACCTGCAGAATTATATTTTGGGAATAAAATAAAAAGGAATTAATCCGATATGTAGACTGTGATTTTTGCATTGGTTGAGCAATGTTTAAGAGGCTATCACGACATTTATACATTATATCATTACAGTTCCAATCACAAAAGTAAATATAATGGCAACACCATTCGATGATAATCCGGTAGAAATTGTGACAGGAAAAACACAACAATTTCAATGTAAAACAGATGCTGGCCGACCATCTTCAAGAATACAGTGGTATATGTCTGGCACCAACATCACCAGTTTGGCTACCCCTCAGGATGTTATTTGTAGTCTCAATTGTAATGGTAAAGTTATATCATCTAGTGTACTGACATATACTGGGAATCGTGGAGATGAAGGAAAAATCATGTACTGCACAGCTCTGAATATCGAAAATCAAAGTGTAGGATCCCAGAACAAAACTGTTGAAATATTGTGTAAGTACAAATTTGTATAATCTGTAATTCCAAAGAATATTAAGATAGCACTCCACAATTAGGTGTGTAGTTTTGCATTTTGGCCCTGTGGATTTTTCAAATATGAGAGCTAGTGTGTGAGAAAATTAATTTTCCTATAGCTGAAGATTAATATAGCCTTCATAGTACTTTGCAATATTTTATGGCAAATAAATGCAGAATGTTGCCATGGATACAAAAAAAGAAGAAGTATATTTCACCATGTTAACTTCTGAAAATCAAATTGATGGAATATATTGATTGCATACATATATGCACATGTATGAAACAAACAGTTGGCTTAATGTATTAAAAAGTCAGGAGTAGAAGTTGATTAAACATTTTGTGGTTCAATTTTTATGAATCTTGTTTGACTACAGCGTATCACACATGCAGAGAAACGTTACAAGTATCTTTCCGTGAAATAATTTGATTTTAAACGACATAACATAACATCATGTATGTGTTTGTTGCGCACGATAAATAATTAAATCAATGTAATGTGGTTGGTAGATTTGGCTAATAAGACAGACAGACGCTATAGGCTTCAGGCCTTCCTATTTTAAAGATCAGTCTGTACCTATCAATTCTTATACCTATACCAAACCAATTGCAACTAAAATTTTCAATTACAAACACGTGTTGCAGGATCTCAATATTGACGACTTCAAGTCTAAGCTACCTGATTGCACCTGTGCTAGTTCCCCATTCATATATAATACGGCTTGCCACGTTATTACCGGTGACCTCAATATTAGGGTCTTCCAAGTGCTCCACGAAACCTTTTTCCAAATTATAAAGATCCATTTTATCAGCAATCAAAGCCGGGCTTCAAAGTTATTGCTATTCTAGAGGTGGCGTGAATCAGATGTGGATACTTAAGAATTCCAAAGATCTTTTATATTACATACAACCTAAGACTCTTTCATCTTGCAAAAGTAACACAGCATTTGACTTTTCTACACTTCACACAAATGTTCCCGATTCCAAACTAAAGACAAATTGAAAGAGTTGGTATTGCTTTGTTTCATAAAAAAATGACCTACGTTGATACAAGTATTTTGTCTAAAGGAGAGATAAATCCTACTTTGTAAAAAATCACTCTGATTCAAACAAAAAATCTCTGAAACTGACATTATCAAGATGCTTGATTTCTTGATTGACAACATATTTGTTACGTTTGGAGGACGTGTTTTTCAATAAACAATCGGCATTCCAATGGAAACCAACTACCAGTATGTCCCTCTTCTTGTCGACTTGTTCCTTTATTCTTATGAGGCTGACCTCATACAGGAACTTATTAGGAAGAAAGAAAAGAAGTTAGCAGTATCCTTTAACTTTACTTTCCGCTATATAGATGATGTTCTCTCACTAAATAAATCAAAATTTGGTGACTATGTTGAACGCATCTATCCCATCGAACTTGAGATAACGGATATAACAGATACAGTTAAATCTGCCTCATATCTTGACTTACATCTAAAAATTGACAATGAGGGTCGGTTGAAAACAAAACTTGGCGACAAAACAGATGATTTCAACTTTCAAATTATGAACTTTCCATTTCTATGTAGCAGCATCCAGCAGCGCCTACATACGCAGTATATATCTCCCAATTGATACGATATTCCCGGGCTTCTATTTCCCCATCATGATTTCCTTGATAGAGGGTTGCTGCTTACAAGGAAGCTATTGAACCAAGAGTTCCAAATGGTGAAGTTTAAATCATTCCTTCGTAAATTTTACGGACGCCATCACGAGTTTGTTAACCGTTATGGAATGGAGTATCCTTTTCACAGATGATAGCGGATATGTTTTAGGCCTAATGTCGTTACTACAATCCTTTCCCCTTTTCACGAATGTGACGTACCGAATTAGACTTATTACCGTGTTGCTTAATCTTTAGTTTTCTATGTTGTGTGTTGTGTACAATTGTTTGTCTGTTGGTCTTTTTCTTTTTTAGCCATGGCGTTGCCAGTTAATTTTCGACTTATGAGTTTGAATGTCCCTCTGGTATCTTTCGCCTATCTTTTATGAATGTCTAGCAGACAGAATGACATTGTACATTCAATGATGAAGGGATCCAGTTTGCCAATAGAACACAAAACGTCGTTCAAATCAGTATCTAGTAAAAGAGTTTCTCTGCAAATGGTAATAAAATAAACCAAACCCAAATAAAACATGACACTATGTAGTTGAATATTTTCTGAAAATGTGTATCTGTTTTAATTTAATCTGACAAAAAGGAAACGAATCTTTTTTCATCAATTGATGCAAATTCATCAATAGAATTTTCGAAACTATGCCTTAGAATACACAGGAAAACAAAAACAAGAAGGGAAATATGATAAGTTCACTTTTTCAAGTATCGAATATGCTTAAAAAACACCCATTAGCTATATACCCAATAAATACGTGTACTGCAAAACATGTAAATATGTTTTTATTCGGGCGGCTTAGTACCGAAATTTGACAAATTCCTGCAAATGATGATACAAGCATAGGATTTGGCATATACGTTCTTTATGGTGTACTTTATCATATTAGAGAGGTGAACAACATATTTTTAATTGTTTTCAAGGTGATCATCTTGAATTTAAAAATTGACATCAATTTTGCTCAATAATAGAGATTGAAAACAGATGCACTCCTTTTTTAACCTTGATATAGGGAGTGACAACTATTTGAAATACAACAAAATCACATGAAAATACGTTAAACAGACAGGAATTGTAAAAAGAAATCACCACTACCGGTTAGGGTGGTAAAAGTTCATACAATCGAGTAAATTAACAGGGGTAAGGATATGCAATAAAAATGTCCGTTTGAAACATAGGTAATTATTTAAGATATGCAGGAAGGCCGAATGATGTATTATCCTGCCATATTTTCCCAGGTATTTCGTTCTAACAGCTATAAGAGTACAAAGTTGTACAGGTCAAACCAGCTTCATAACACTTGCATCTACCAGAACATGTTTTTTGTTTCCACATTTGTTGAACTCAAGGCATGAGGCTGCAATGGTTGCTAATTGTGTCCAATTGGGAATCCACAACCCATTTGTTATATCCCTAACCCATCCCAAATCGCCAGGACTAGGTAGATGTTGTTCATGTGTGACTACTTGTCCCTATAAATGACCACTTTGATATGCATCTCGTTTGGTGTGCTCAAGCAATGCAGCTCTGGTGAGCGGAATTGCGTCATACTGTCTTTGTTTGCGTGCAAACAATTCAAGCCAGGTTTCATTGATGTCAAATGTTGTTGTAGTTCTGAGCTGATTATCAGTGTCGACTTACATTCCCTTTCGGCTGCACTTTTGATATGAACACATAGCTTTGTGTCTGCTTCCTCGTAATTTCCAGGAATGAGATCAATATGGTCATCCTAAGAATTTGTCATAACATCCTTTTGTCACAAAAATCATTTTGTCAGATTGAATCGAGCAAATTTTATCGGCAAGGAATTGTAACAATTCCGTTCTGTTTTCGTCCACTCTAAGGAAGCTCGCCAAAGATTATGGAGTCCAAATGGTGCCCACAGCTTTCCGCCTGGTTCAAGCAACCCTCGCTTTAAGTATTTGTGCTTTTAATATGTCTTCTTTGTAAATATCAAATATAATGGCTACTCTTGAATGTTTTGAAGTAAGGTGGTTAATGTACCACAAAATCACAACTTTCACGTACTCATCAAAAGTGTATGTTCCACCCTGTGGTCATGAATTTACCATAGCCGCATCATCAACTACTACTATGTCTGACTGAGGTTCTCCTCATGGCAAATTCCCCAAAGCTTCCAGAACGTTAATAAGCTGTGAATGAACGCCAATATTGATTTTACCACTTTGAGACAATAAAAGGAGGAAATTTCTAATTTTTGTGACTAAAAAACTCTTCAGAGTCGCATTGTTTGCTTTGACAGGATATACAAAGCATTGAAAACAGACTGCAGTCTATCGGGCAAGCTTGCACATTGTTTCTTCGGAACTTTTCTTTGGTTTGCAAATGAACAACAGAAACTTGTTTTTTCTTAATAGGTTCATAAATGTTTGCCTTGTTTGGCATTTGGGTTATGAAGTCATCGTACTGATTACATCTGGTTTGTTTAGTGTGCAACAGTTTCCTTGTATCTGCTTGTACAATATATTTGCTGTTTCTCTTGTAGATATAACCAGAATCCTCAAGAAATGGATCTCTTCTAGCTCCAACAATTTCTGTTATTGGATGTTGACAAATAGAGATTCCGGTGTCATGAAAGAATGATTTTGATGTTGTTGAGCTTGGGTTGTGGTCCATGCTGTCGACCGCAACTATGGTTAACACTTTAGTCATAGATGCATGCTTTTTTCATTAGTTTTGATTGGCTTTGAACTAGCTGTCAGTAACTGCGAGTACTCTCAGATCTGTGCTTAGTTTCTTTTTGTTGTTGGGATGTACAAGTACCCGTCCACGTCCACTCTGTATTTTTGTAAGATGTATTTCTATTTGTATCCATCTAATGTTTTTTTCTTTTTTCAACTGATTTTTATACGCCCGTCAAATTTTTGACGGGACGTATTATGGTATACAAATGTCTGGCGTCCGTCCGTCTGTCTGTCCGTCTGTCCGTCTGTCCGTCTGTCTGTCCGGCGTAAACATGTCGCACCGTAACTTGAGAATGACTTATCCAAATTTCATGAAACTTAACATAGTTGTTTCTTATGATGGTCAAACGATCTGTATACTTTTTGGTGAAAATAAGATTAAAACTTTTTGAGTTACGGGACTTAGTAACTAAAGCGGGTGTGTGTGTTTTTCACATGTCGCGCCGTATCTCAAAAACAATTTATGATTATTGCTTAAAACTTTACACACTTCTTAGTTATATTAATCTTAAGATCTGTATACTTTTTGGTAATGATTCAAAATTTTATTTTAGAGATATTGAGTATTTTGTTAAAAAAGGGGGAGGGGTTTTTCACATGTCGCGCCGTATCTCAAAAACAGTTTATGATTATTGCTTAAAACTTTACACACTTCTTAGTTATATTAACCTTAAGATCTGTATACTTTTTAGTGATGATTCAAAATTTTATTTTTAAGTTATTGAGTATTTTGTAAAAAAAGGGGGAGGGGTTTTACACATGTCGCGCCGTATCTCAAAAACGATTTATGATTATTGCTTAAAATTTTACACACTTCTTAGTTATATTAATATGAAGATCTGTATACCTTTTGGTTTTGATTCAAAATTTTATTTTAGAGATATTGAGTTTTTTGTAAAAAAAAAAGAGGGTACTCGCATGTCACGCCTTATGTCAGAAACTATTTATGCTTATTGCATAAAAATTCACACACAAGACGACGGGCGTATCATGCGCTCATGGCGCAGCTGTTTATTATAGTTTGTTCTTATGTTGTACTGTTACACCACTGTCCCAGGTTAGGAGAGGATTGGCGCCTTCAAACTAGTTTAACCCCGCCACATTCTGTATGTGCCTGTCCCAGGTCAGGAGCCTGTTGTTCAGTGATTGTCGTTTGTTGCTGTGTTACATATTTGTTTTTTTGTTCATTATTTTGTACATAAATTAGGCCGTTAGTTTTCTTGTTTTAATTGATTTACATTTGTCAATTCGTGGCCTTTTATAGCTGACTATGCGGTATGGGCTTTGCTCATTGTTGAAGGCCGCACTGTGACCTATAGTTGTCAATTTCTGTGCCATTTGGTCTCTTGTAGAGAGTTGTCTCATTGGCAATCATACCATATTTTCTTTTTTATACTTTGCCCTTCAATAGGAGGACAACCACACCCTCAATCAAATAACGTTCAACTACAGTTTCGCCTACTAGTTGAGTTGATATTTCCAGTACCCGATCATAAGAGATGCATAACCCATGTTGAAATAATGTAACTATAAATTGTCTCTTCCTGGTTTTTGCATAGAGTAATAGTGAAAGATACACAAAAAATAGTGTCTCACGATCAGCTGAATGTCTGTGTTGAACATGAACTTTCTGGGTGTTTGGATGATACTTAAACATTAATTGTTGTGCCAGAGCTAAGTTGGACTTTGTAGAAACTTTGTATAACTGTGATTTAATATCAGGTCCATGCTCTATAATTTTCACAAACTGTAACAAAGGAGGTGGTATGCTGTCATCGATATATTCAGAAAATGTTGTCTTCTTAGTAGCTAACTGGTATCGATTCATTTCGGTCATCTTTGCCATATGCATGGTGTCATTGTAATCACAAGCAAACGCGATAGCTTGTCCTATATCTTTTTTCAAACATCAAAAGAATATCTCTGCCTTTTGCGTATGCTTCAAGTTCTGACATCTTCTGCAAAAGCTTGTCCTTCAGGCACGTAGAATTTAGCTGTGCAGAAGAAGAACCAAGTTGTGTCAATCTTTCTTCGTATATGTTTACCTAGGTCTTCTAATCGAAACACCACTGACTCTTCAGAATTTGTTTGAGTTTCAAAGATGTATGCTACCAGCTCAACTGATGCAGTTTCTATCATTATATTTTCCTCCTGAGTACTACTGCTTTCGGCATCTGTTTATACCCTTTTTGCTCTATATCTGTTGTATACAGCTGTGAGACAAAAAGGGTGATACTTTAATTCTTGTGGTATGACATCACAACTTCTTAATTTTGCCAACAGCTGTTTATCCTGTAGCACTGTTGCACAATCCATTATTCGTTGGTTCAGTTTCATTGCCATTGTCTCTCTTAAAGCAGATACAGGCCACTCCTTATCACAAATGAAATATTTATGCACATTTCCATCGAGATCTGGCTGTTATTCTTTCGAACGGGGAACAAAACGTTTAGGAGACTTACATTCACTTGAACTTCCAGATGGCATTGGTGAATTATGGCGTTTCTGGTCTCTCTAAATGTTTTGTATTGTTAAACTTTATTTTATATGATGACGACGGGTTGAACATCTCCTTCACCACGGTATTTGGTTGGGTTCTTGTTGATCAGTCTTTAATTTTTTCTATGTTGTGTTTTGTATATTGTATTTTGTCTTTTGGTCATTTTTCGTTTTTTGTTTGTTATGGGGTTGTTAGCTTGTTTCCGACTTTTGAGTTTGAATGTCCCTTTTGGTATGTTTGGACTTTCCTTGACCTTATTTACATGGATCATTTTATAATGTTAAGTTTATGTGATACTTGTAGTCAAACCTTCATATTACAGACTTTCAGCATAAAATCAATCATGATAAACAAAGCAGGCGAGGCATGTCAGCGTGTGGACTCTTGTTCTTATTAGAATTTTGAGTTGGAAATCTCTTATACTCTTATTCTGACGATCATGGCGTTTGTGTAAAAAAAATCTATATTTAGCCTATAGAAGTCCATTTACGTTGCGGACGTGATAGAAAACGTCATGGCAAAAGTGTTGAAACAATAATCATACCCGGATAACGGAGAAGTTAAAATAAAATTACGCATGTTCATGCTATTTGATTTTTTTTAAGACGAAGTACTGAATGTGTCAAAGGTTGAGACTACAAGATTTGTGACGACAGAATACATTTGCATAAAAACTATCTGCTTGTAAAAGAAAACAATACAAATTAAATATTTTCCATGCACATAAGTGAACTACACAGTATAGTCGGCTGCCATCATGTATTAACTGCATGTACCATTTAAATTACAAACGTGAATTCTGATGGTAAGGTTGACAACATAATCTGTTCCTGGAATCTCAATTTTTAGTCCAATTAATGAATAAACTATTAAATTATACAATATTTAATATTCCAATTCTCAGTTCTAAATAATGATGTCTTCGGTTTTCATACACAAATGTTTAACACGATTTGATAGTCTTTCACAACGTTAGATTTCTCTTTTTCATTTTTTGAAATGTTGCCATGCCAGGTCGGTTACAGGTTGCTATACGACATATGTTTGTCCATTTTATTGAAGGCAGTATGGTTGTTTACATATACATGTAGCCTCTGATAAAAAGCTTGTATAATTGAAATTCACACCACATCGCGTTATTTTTCTTTTATTTTAAAGTTATAATTGTTAACCAATTTAATTACCGAAGTTTACATAACATAAATTTGATGGCCGAATTTACCCTCCTTCGTCTAATTTAAGTGTAGCATTCAAATCCTGTGATTTGACAATTCGTTGCTACACTTCTATAGCAAACTGTTAAGTAGTGTTATTACCGAATATGTGTTTATCACATCATTCTGGGTATCATAAAATATACGGTAAATGACATTTTTAATCTGTCTTTCATAGAGATAATTAGCGTTTTTGTCTAAACTCAAACCAAACAAACACTGTAATGTTTCATATTTCCGCCATAATCACGATTTCTACTGTATACTCATCTTATGAGCAAATACACACACAAATAATCAAAAATAATTTCATTGAAAATAAATAAAAGAAAATATGCAATATACGTCAATAAAACAATAACCCATGACTTGTTATCGCATTTTGAAGTACAACATGTTAATTTGAAAACTAATAATACGTTGAACACGGGATAAACTCATAACGTTTTGCATTTGTAATCAAGAATAACGTATGTGTTTGTGTGTACATTTATAATATTATATTATATATAAATTCTGGTGTGCTGATTTATAATATGTACAATGCAGAAATCTTTGAAAAAATCATTTATGTGTTTTAAATTTCGAGCGACTTCAATAATCCATACCCATATATGTTCAATAACCTCAGCTGGTAAGTAAGGTATTGAATATTCCTTAACAGAAAGTATGATAAGCATGAAAAGTACATGTAGTTTTATGAGAATCAATCATGTTTTGATTAAAAAAATAACCAAAAATGTGTTTTGCATTTTAAAATCGGTCAGTATATAAACGTTGAACATAAATAACGAGTCGGTAGAGTGACATGTAACTACTTGGTACATGTATGTGCCGTCATATTTATAGTACATAACTGTATTTCAACGTCACACTGACATTCCATCTTATCGTGAATCCCTTTGCAATTTGTCATAATATTTTAAACAAGTCAGTGCAATAGCCAAGTTTAACTATAAAATACTTCATCGTTACGAATATTGCATGAAGTTGATTTTGGTTCAACAAACTGCGAGCAGTTTATGATATTGCATTGCTCAATAAATGTTCATCTTTTAGTCCAGATTAATCGGATAATGGTTCATAAAGCAAATACTTAAAACTTGCAATATGTCCCGTGCCTAATCAAAGTCAGGTCAGTGGTCATCTTATGCCATGTATCTAAGCTTTTCTGTCGTTCGGCAGGTTCGGTACTGATGGACAATATTCATAGTGCATGTACAGGTTAATTGCAGCTCTTCTTTAAGACTCCAGGCGACTAAGAATTCAAATTCGCATAAATCATGTGCATAGTTGAATGCTAATGTTGTAAGTTCTGTAATGTTGTGTTGCTAACTTATTTATATAAATTAAATATAATTTGTTGTGCAACAATTCTGAAAAATAGATCGTTTTATATTCGATTTACAACAACATATTATCAGAAAGTTACTGAATATTCTTATAGAATTACTACTGAGGAAAAAACAGATCTTCTTTATTTCAGATGGTGCCAGCAGCGTTATAATCTCTCCAACCTTACAGATCTACACAGTAAAAGAAACTATAGAGGGTGTTGGTCCCATCAACTGCACAGCAGATGATTGTAACCCAGACTGTGCAATGACATGGAGTAGACCAACTATGTCTGATGGGTATATCTCAGTATTAAATTTACAGAAGATAAACAGGACCCAGGCAGGGAATTACAGTTGCAATGCATCAAATACTGCATGGAGTAAAACATCCGTTGCTGTCAATGTTATTGTTCAATGTTAGTAATAATTGTAAGATTACCACTATTTCATAATCTAATTGAAAACAGAAATGAAGAGTAAAAAGAAAAGTGAAAAATGCCCTTGACATTTTATGATACTCCAGTTCAAGTTTAATCGGTCAACATTTTGTCAATTTAAGCAACATCTGTTGTAAGATCCACATTTGAAACGGACAAAAACAGTAAGAAATTATGACAAATTAAACATTTGATTCAATTTAGCATTTGATATATCGTTCATAGATGGTCCTGCCGTAGTCAACATTTCGCCACCGAATCAAACCTACACAATTAAAGAGCTCACAGGAAGTGCTGGTCATATAATCTGTAACGCTGATTGTAAACCTGATTGCATCATTACATGGAAGGGAAATAACGTTCCTGTTGGTACAAATAATATTCTCTACCTGACAAATATAACCAGAAAACAGGCGGGAAATTACCAGTGTACAGCTACAAATAATGTTGGTAATAATACATCTGTAACAGTTATTGTAATTGTTTTGTGTAAGTATAATCCACTTAAAAACCAAAAACAACGTTTATAGTTAACATGGTTAAGTATAAAAATAATTAGATGTAATATGATTGCCAATGAGACAACTGTCCACCAAAGTTCAAATGAAGTGGATGTTAGCAATTATAGTCAACCGTACGGCCTTCAGCAATGAGAAAACCCCATAACGTATAGTCTGCTTTAAGGAGACAAAAAAGTTTATCAGAAGTCTTTTGTTTTGCTTTATTCTATTCCTTGGTCAATTTGTAGTAAAAGAAATCCTATCTGAGAATAATGCGACTTATATTGCAAAATTCACAGCTCAATTTAAACTGTAATGTATGACTTTAATAGAAAATACTTGATATTTAACTTCAGACTACAGGAACATAAACTTCCAATATCAAGATTAATTTTGGTTGATTTTTCCTTGCTAGTCCTACTGCTTTAAAGACTTTGCACAACTTTTACAATGAGTTTAGTAAAAAACCAAAGATTTTGAAGTGTCAAGGAATATTGACCCCCTTTTTTTCATCAGATGTCAGTAATGGACTATTAATTGATCAATAATGCAGTTATGGTCATGAAACAATTTTTATTTACTATCAGTTAATAAAATTTAAGGTAGAACACCTTCATTTGAGACAATTTATAGAATTGGGGTGAATTTATGCAGTGTTTACATTAAGCTATGCTATCTGCCAAATACATAGAATGACGCAATTACATAACGGGTAAAAATCAAATAATTTGATAAAATCTTCATGACGACAATTTTTTTTTTTGGTAGTAAACAACCTATGTTTTAATGTTTAATACTATAAAAACAATTTACTGTGCATTCATAACAATTTCAGACATTTTTTATATGAATTCATATTAAAAGGGTGTTAAAAGCTTAAAATTAGCACAAGGCTCTACTTTTGCAATGTGTGACTTTTTAACCAAAAAAAAGAAATGATTGAAATGTGGCTACTTGCATTTCAAATGATCAGTTAGGACCAAAAAATCAATTGTTTTGTGATTTTGTTGGTTTCACCGCTTTTCGCTTTAAAGGTGTCAGACCACCAATTCAAAATCCCTATCTATTCAACCAAATTTTGCAATTTTCACAGCTTTCTTTACATTTAACCTTAAGTTTAACTTCATAGAAACCAGGTATATCCTGAATTGTACATGTATCACCTTTCTACATGCCAATTTTCAACCTACCTTTAAAGTCATAATAAAGAACTGACCTTCGGAACACAAGTACTACTAAAAATAACCCCAGGTTTTCTGGAAATCTTAAATTAGTATACTATGGAGTGCATTAATCCTCAATTTTTAATGCAAACTCATAGACAAGTTAATTTTGGCTCAAAATGATCTAAATATATTTTTCTATCACCAAAAGTTTCATTTCTGCAAATATGATGGTTAGTTTAAGTGAACAATGACATCAAAAGCACTATTTTGTGTCAGAATAGGGCTACTTTTACATACGTTCTAAATTGAAGGGAGTGAATTGGTGGTCTGACACCTAAAAGACCATGACATGAGAAATATGAAACAATTCAATTGAGTAAACAAACGGCCTAATTCATAACAAAACAATTTACGAAAAACAAATATGACAGACATGAACCAACGACAACCACTGAACTACAGGGTCCTGACTAGGGACATACACATTAAAGATGTGGCGGGGGTTTAACATGTTTGTGAGAGCTCAACCTTCCCCCTAACCTGGGATAGTGGTGTAACAGCACAACACTAAGAAAAACTATTATATCAGTCAAAAAAGTCTTTACTCATCAGATCGATACAAAGCAGGAAAACATCAAACAAGAACACAGACCGGACATGGCAAGGTATTTATCTATTCCTCATCCCTTACAACAAAAAAGACACTAAGTATACATCTGAGAGTACTCGCAGTTACTGACAACTAGTTCAAATCCAATAACAACTAATAAAAAAATGATGTATCTAAGACTAAAATATTATTCAGTACACATACAGCATCCAATAGATTTAGTGTAAAGGCGTCATTAACAGTCCGAAAGAAACATGAACTTGTCTGTCATAGTCTATGTCATTGTAAATAATGAACAAAGCAAAACGTAAAATAACATGAAAGTACTAATTTTTGTTACGGTAGAAAATATTGTTTCAATTTACTTTTAAAACATAGATTGATTGCTTTTTGTTTGCCTTATGTCCAGGAGCTAATAATTCATGTGTGATCATGAAGATACTTTGTCGTTAAAAATATGGAGACTTTATAATAATATCAATGAAGCATTTTATGACAAAAGATCGTTAGAGAATAATAAACAAATTGATGAAAGACGAACAAACAACTACAACGTATTTGTGTTTTCTATAAAATAAGCAATAATTAACGAAATAACTTGTCCCGGATCTCAATTATATCCCTTTTTCATGTTCGTTTAAGTACAGTTGTTGTTTGTCTTCCTAATTGTATTTATGATGGAAGACAGTTGTAATCAATTAAACAAATTTCAGACGTCTAAAAATCTTTGATATTTTTTTTTGTTAATACCGGTTACATCTATCTGTAACCCAAAAATTGTGTGTGTGTGTGTGTGTGTGTGTGTTGGTGTGTGTGTGTGTGTGTGTTGGGGGGGGGGGGGGGCATGTATAGTATGTAATTAAAATGTGTAATATGTTGATATGGATGCCAGGTTGGAAAATAAACCAGTCTCTAAGAAAACAGATAACTGATGCTTTGGTAATATACCAAAATATTTGTTCTTTTATTTTTTATGAAATCAAGATGCTTACTTGTGTTTTTCTCTACTGAATTAACCTATTCATATATATTACATCATTTATTTCTTAGTATCATTTTCTTCTGTTGTTTGAATTGGCTAAGCCTTGAAATCTAAAAAAAAAACTAATAAAATGTGAGCTATAGATGGTTTAAAAAAATGCACCAAAAACGCACTACATGCTGAAAATTGTGATTTTTCATTTAAATTAAGAAAATGCACTTAGGTAAGGGCCAATTACCAGATTATTTATCTACCTATGTATAAAATCATATATTTGGAAAGTTTCATGTATGGGAATTCATATATTTATACATAATATATAAATGTTGTTGTTGTTTTTGGTTTTGGTAGGCGGCTAACGTATATATTAATTGCGCTTTAAATTCATATAACATAGATATATACACTCATTTCGTTTTATTCTGCAAATGGGTGACGTATCATACATTTACAGCGCACTATACAGATAGCTTTAAAGCGCCGCCAACTCTCGGACTATTTTTGTGTATTGCTGTTGACAATTGTTGTATGAACTTTCTTGACCTCAGAATGTGTATTGCAATCGCATTCCAATGACGTATTGCTATGTCTGTGAATGTTCTAGTCTCCGATCCGCAAGCCACTTTCTGCTAAAAGACAAACATGAACAGCAGTATTAACTCCATTTTCTACATCGCCAATCTTCAAGTTCAAAACTTGAATGTGTAAATGCGAAACATACACAAACAACCATGCAACAATGTAAATAATCAGTGAATGCAAGGACAGTTCAAAATTCTGAAGCGTAGGACAAATCAAACACTTTTGTCTTAATTCGCACAATGTTTTGTTATTTCTTTTGACTGTTGAAGTAAGTTGTTATGTTATAATAAATAATTATTAACTTTGTGCGATGCATTCTTGTTGACCATGCGAGATTCTTTTCGGCGAACCGGTTATCAGCTGATTGTGTGCTTTTTTTGTAATATTACTACGCGGGCCTCAAAGGATTTGAAATCGAAAATAAATGCAATAAATGTGAGTTTTTCTGTCTTTCAAACCAAAAACAATATACAAAATTAATTGCAGAATAAAGACAAAAACTGTTTAGTGTCTTTAAATATCAGCTGTATTTGTACTCGGCTCGAAACAGGAGTAATAGCTCGCTGAAGCTCGCATTACACCTGTTTCTTAGCCTTGTAAAAATACAGCTGATATTTAAAGACACCTAGCAGTTATTGTCCATATATATTTTAAGTATTACATTTTAGCGAGTAATTATATGAAACTGTGACGAACAGGGGTGACTGTGTTAAAAATTTGTCATATCCAGTAATTGTATTTTGCAACATCCTTTTGCTGATTGCCCCCTCTTTTTTCACTTTCGAATTGCATAATGTATTTTGATAAATTAACAAACTAAAAAACAAAACCAAAATCAAAACATTTTCCATAAGTGTTCTACCTTGAATTTGAATTTAAAATAAATTGTGTATGAGTTTATGCAGGAATACTGTTTATTTTTACGAGAATAAACATCACAAAGAGATTTGAATTACCTTTCTTGATTTACTTTCCTTTTGAAAGACTCGCTCATATTTCTGTTTACATAAGATTGTATAATCTGGAATAAAATGTGACATTGGGGAAACAATTTTTACATTTTAAGATTATGTATGGTCATCAATGTGTGATAAAATTTGCAGCCATAAAACCGGGTTCATGCATTTGAATAATAAAGTTAAGGTTCTTTCCAAATTATCATTTTTTCTTACCTAAACTGATGAACAAACATTAGTATCAAATAGTAAAAGTGTTATACAAGCAGAATTATTATACTTCTTTTATGTCATGTTTACCAATATGAGAACAATTGATGAGATAGCAACCAATGACAAGAGTTACCAAAGACATCAAGAGAAAAACCTAGTCAAGATATAAATCTTCCCATATCCATTAAAGGAATACATAAACTGAACAAACCCTCTGAACATAATGTTAGATCTAGTCGGTTAATTAAAGAGGACGTATGATTAGATTAAGGTGGCTGGGGTGTCTTCCTCCATCTTGGATTTTGAAGTAGCAGATAACAATTGGTCTAGATCTTAAATGAAATGTGCAAATTTTGAGAGTAGTATGTAATTCATGTGTAAGACTTTTCATGTTAATATAGAAAAGTATGTGTTTTATCATATTTACGGCTGTATTTTCTATTCAACACAATATTTTTGTTTGATTCATTTTTTTTACTTTGCCACAAAAGGGGAGATAACTCAGATAGTAGGGGAGATAACTCAGATAAAGTAATTTTCATAATAGAACGTGTTTTGAATTTACCTTTTTTAATATGTAGCAAGAAAACAAGTCCGGTGACCCCATTTTTTCTTTTCTTATCTGAAAGCATGTTATAAGAGCTATCTTCTCACATTCTATCTTAAAATTCTATGGTGTAATTTTCTTTTTATCACACAAAATTGGATTTTCCATGCATAATCTATACAAAATCTGACAATTTTGTACAACCTGTAGCGTGAAAAAAAGTCCGGTGACCCATACTTTTTATTATATTTTGTAAAAAAGCATGATAAAAACTACATTTTGACAAATTACTAAAAAATTCTATGGATTTTAATTAAGACTCCCTATCCACCTTAAACCAGTGAATAGCAAAATCAATAGAGTCTTCGTCTTTTTCCTTAGTTAAAAACTAAATATAAGTTCTGTTGTTTTGTCGAGTTTAAGATTAATTTGTAATTGTAAACAAATAGTGTGATCACAGAATGACATTTTTTTTCTCTGTGACAGTACACGGGTTTACCGGATTGTAAATCATATGATTAAACAATCTTATGTCATGATACATGTTCTAAAGTAGTATTTAGTAAATGTCGGTACACCCTTATTCGAATAAATTAGAATAAAACGAAATTTATTTTTATGATAAAAGTTCCCAAATAACTGTGAAAAAAATAACGCTGTCTCAGTACATTTGATGGACAAATACAAACAAATGCATTATCAATAAATTCAAATAAATATGCATATGCTATAGTAAATACAGTCACTAGCATTTTTACTATATAACAATTTTGTTCGTTATAGAGACTCTGTATATCGCAGAGTTATCGGAATTTTAATGGGGACCAACTGTGCACCACTTATAGCAGACTTGTTTCTGTATTGTAATGAATCACAATGACCCATCGAAACAACATCTGATACACAAATATAAAAATACTTTTAGATATTTGGATGATATTTTGGCTCTCAATAATGATGACTTCAGTATGTACACTACAGAGATTTTTCCTTTTGAACTTACTTTGAATAAAGCTAATACTAACAACGAATACTGTCTTTTCCTAGATCTTGGTACCAATTTCTATAACGGGAAGCTTATTACTAAAATTAACGCAATTCTACCAATTCAAAATATGAATATTTAGCCAAAATTTTACCATATTGTATATGACGATACTGACAAATGTGAACTAATGAATAAATACGTCACGTCGATATCAGAACAAAATATTGAGCTGTTCCAATTTGAAAATGGAACTGAAAGTAAAATAAGTGATATTCAAATAGCTGAGAGTAAAATAATCGATATACTTCTTACTTTTTATCCCGAAAGGTATCTGCCAGACAGGTTTGATTAAAATATCCCTCACCCCCCCAAAAAAAACAATTGCAAACCCTTTAAAAATATATTTAAAAAATATATCCCGATATCCCTAATTAGCTGTGTAGGAAAAGTAATGGAGAGGGTAGTCTACAAACATTGTTATTTATAACAATCTACATAGAAGCAAACTTATTTTTATGTATCAGTTAGAATTGTTACCTAAACATTCAGCTGTACATCAACTTATTAAACATTATATGGAATTATCTTGAAAAAAAAAAGAATTCTGTTTGCTACGTATTCTGTAATTTTCAAAAACATTTGATAAAGTATGGCATTTTGAACTTATATATAAAACGAACTCATATGGAATAAAGGGAAATTTACTTGCATGAACTAAATTTTTTTAAAGAAAACAAAAAGACGTTATCAGAGATTCGTCTTCATCATTGTCCATTGTTTCTGCAGGGGTACCCTTATGCTCTGTTCTCGGTCCCTTTTTAATTTTGCTGTAAATAATTGATATTGGCTAAAATTTAATTTCACTGACTAGACTTTTTGCTGATGATACAGCGCTAGGTTATTCCACCCAAAGCATTGCAGACTAAGAGGTAGTAGTTAATCATGATTTTAACAAACTCAATGTTTGGTAAAAAAAAAAAAGGTCAATGTCCTTTAACCCAGATAAAACGGAAATAATGATTTGCTCAAATACTAAGATTCCAAATAATATTAGTTTTTCTTTTAATTAAAGAACAGTATATAACACATTAAGTCATAAACACTTAGATGTAACTCTTTCCCAGGACGCAAAATGGAATGTGAGCGTAGAAAATAGACCAAAAGAATTACAAAGCATTTAGGAGTCTTAAGTATATTTAAAAAGATGAACAGACATAACTTAGAAAAAATGTATCTGGTATATATTCGTCCTATATTTGAGTATGCTTGTGAATTATGGGACAATTGTGGTATATTTGCTATTCAAACAAACTAGTAAACATTCAACTGCAAGCTGCGAGAATTGTAACAGGATTGCTAATCTTTACTCAGTAACACCGCATATTTTTATTTAGAAATAAATAATTACATTATTAGTTAGCGACGTGGTTTTCGCAGTCTTAGATCTAAATGTCCCAAAATAGTTCTCCTATCTGTGATTTTAACCGATTGTGTCTTATTGCCGATTGTGATATTTGACTGGTCGTATATTGGCAGGAAGGACTCAATATGCTTATTCTGTCGACGCAACAGATTATCCTCGTTTTTTTTCACGAAATACACTCAGTGTTCGTTTGTTTCGACAAATTACTTTTTTCTTAAAAAATACTGGACTGAGCTGTCTTTCACTGTTCTAAAGATAGAACTGTCAGAATTTATTCAAGGGAAGAACTTTCAGAATCAGTTCTAGGATAGACATGTCTAAATCTTCTCTATGATTGAAGATTTAAAAACTGTTCTAGGGTATATGTTTTAGTGTAGAACTTATTCTAATTGTATTTGTTTTTCATTTTAAAATCAATTTGAATCTAGAGTTAACCTTTTTTTAATATAAGTGTAACAAGCTTCTTATGCAACTCTCACGATACATTGTTTATTACTAGTCGTGCTAAGCTTACCCCCACTCATAGTATCGGAAAAAAGGAAGTAGGTGGCTGATAGATACGGAATGCGCTCACAAGCTACAACTGTAATAACCAATACTATTTCTGTATATTAAAAACTGATAAATGTGCGAAAAATGTATTTGCTTCATTTAATATAATGAAATATTATAAGATAGAGGCAGTATATACCAAAGGGATATTCAAACTCATAAGTCGAAAACAGACTGACAAAGCCCTGGCAAACAAACGAAAAACGACAAAAAGACAAACAACAGTACACAAAACACAACATAGACAAATAAAGACTGAGCAAGACGAACCCGAACAAAACCCGTGAGTGATTGCATATGCTCCGGAAGGTAAGCAGATCCTGCTCCATTAATGAAACCCGTCGTGTTGCTCGTGTAAGTACAAACCCGGTAAAAAGCATAGTTCGGTAGGTCACTTTCGAGGAAAAGAGGACGGGATTGTGGTTACGACAATTGGAATATATCTGTCGTCATCTGTGAAGCAAATATTCCATAACGGTTATTCAACTCGTAATGCCGTCCTTTAAATTTTTCGAAGGGATGAATTCAACTTTATTATTTGAAATTCTTGGTTCAGTAGCTTTCTTGTAAGCAGCTACCCTGTATCAAGGAAATGACAATACGAAAAAAAGGAAGCTCTGTAATAACGTATCAACTGGGAGATCTATATTCCGTTTGTAGGTGCTGCTGGAATGTTGCAACATAAGTGAAACATGATAAATATTAGAAAACATGAAGTATGTGTCCGACAGATTAAAAATGTGCTTTACAAGTTACAAGCAATACGATCAGGCTGCAGACCAAGTATGAAGTTATTATGATCAATACTACAGGAGAAACGAGTAACAAAAACATTATGTTTATTAAACCAATAACATAAAATCTAAAGAATCGACAAACAAAAGGAAGGTGTCTGACACACCAAAGAAGTGCAAACATGTTCCAACGCACCACTATCAATCTGACAAAATATGATGTTATATTGTCCAGTAGTACACGTGAAAAGTGTAAAAGTTTTACCTGTTGAACGAACAGGATGATGGACGGAAAAGTGAAATGCAACAAAGAGGGATAAATATTACATGACATGCATACTTCCTAGTTTTACTGATAATTTAAAAAGAATGTACAATCGAGTTTTTTTTATCACAAAAGCACGGTGCCATAACTTGTTCAGAGTTACTTTGTTATTTTTAAAAGAAGCTTTGAAGGTTGTATAAATGCCTTATATTAAAATCGATATTGGATTTATTTAAGAGCATAATATTTTGTTACGAAACTTAGAAATAGAGATATTAGGGCAACCTGAAATAAGGAAATTAACATACTATGTTTAATTTCCACATAATTTTTTTTGAATATCTCATTTATTTCAGACGGCCCACGACAGGTGAATATTTTCCCATCAAATCATAGTTACACCGTTACTGAGCTATTAGGAATTGTTGGTCCAATCAACTGTACAGCGGATTGTAATCCTAAATGTATAATGAAATGGAGTGGTCCCAATCTTCAAAATGGAAATACATCTGAACTGAATATAAAAGATATTGAAAGGAAACAGGCAGGAAACTATACATGCACTGCATCAAATAGTGTTGGTAGTCAGATTTCGGATATAGTTTTCGTCATTGTTAAATGTGAGTATATAAAGATGTCCGAATAATAGCCAACGATAAATCTTACAGGGCGATGGATCATATAATTATGATACAGTACACTACAAAATATAATATATATTAGCATGTCTAAAAGGGCACATCACCAACAAAATAAAAAAAATAAAATCATGAACAAATGTTAATTATTTCGGATGAATTATATCCTTCATCAGTAAGATGTCAAATGATTCTTATCTTGACATGTGGTAGTCAAACTGAAATAATAATCTTGAACGTTATACAAATTATCACGAATCAATACGCTGGTAAATGTTTTCAATATTGATGTTTTGGAGGAGGAATAAATTCCTTAATACTGTAAGAGTCCTGTACTGAAGCCTGAGTTACTGGCAATATGTAATGGTAGGTACTCATTCTATGTTTTTTCATTAATACCCTCTTTCTTATCCAAAAACTTTTCCGAGCAAGTCTGTCGGCCCTTGACCAACCCTCGTTGTGGTCTATGAAAGTGATGGTAAGGTTTTTAAGATCAGTTTGGGCGTGTCCAGGTGATCTCAAATGAGAACTTACGGGGGGGGGGGGGGGGGGGGGGGGGGGAGGTCGGGCTATATATAAACATCAATTAAAAATCGATGGATATCAAAAATTTGATATATTGTATATGAAAGATTCAATATCAGTTAAATGATTTATTCAAAGTCCTTAATCAGCTAGCACTTGATCTGATGGACAAGTAGATTATTGGGTGTTAGACATCGGTCGAAAAGAGGGGGCCTAATTTGTATAATTAGATCCTATAGTTCAATCCGAAATCCCTGGGACTTGACAGAAAGATTGCGCATATGTGAAAGATGTGCTTCTACAAATATGGTAACAGTTGAGTATATTCAACTTCTTCTTCAGCTGTGAACCCAACAGCTAAAACTCAGAAAACACTTGCACACACGTTGAAGTTGTGTACTTTCAATGATGCTACTAGGTGAGATTTTTTCTCTCCATTTTTCTAACTTTATAACTACTTTTTTTCAGCAAAATTTACAAGAGGTACGAATTTTGTGTCATCAATTTTCTAAAGATCCTTGAAACATCAAAGCATAATTGTAAATAAATAGGAATTCTTTAGGATTTTTACCCCATGTTTTTACATTCAAGAATGTGTTTAACACTGATTATAAAGTAAGTTTAAAACCTTTTTGGATTGTGCACCCTCCTTTATTGGGGAATATAATTTTCCCCATTTTCATTTTACATAGATGTAAATGTTAAATACTGACAATTAGCCCTTATTGAAGAACCTTTCGTAAAAAAACGGAATTTTATCAATTGTTTGTATTATATAAGGATTTGTACAACGATACTGATAATTATAACAATTTACGAATAGATGAAATATTATAATATATTTCCACATCTGTTCGAATTTCGTTGGTATAATTTTTTTTTGTCAAAATGCAATAATACAATACGAGACAATGTTGTGTTGATGAAGCTTTCTCATTTATACATATAAAGGTAAAGATGAAAATGCACTTAAATTGTGTTCATATAAATCGCAAACAGCCACGTCCACAGTGATTCTACAACCAGTTTCACTCTTGCGAGATAATAATGGCTAACTATAAAAAGATTGACATTGTTATAGTTGTTATTATATAATGTGACTTGTTTGGAATATTACAACAATCTTATATATATTCATAAAAAAACACAAAAATCAGGTAAGTAGATAATACAATATATTTTATTTTCTACTTACCTGATTTTTGTGTTTTTTTAAAATATACGAAACTCTGCACGACTTGATTTAATATTATATATATATATATATATATATATATATCCAGTCTAGGTGGCCGAGTGGTTTAGAGCGATGGACATAGTGCAGGCGGTGTTGTCTCGATATCCCAATAACATGAGTTCGAATCCCGGCGAGGGAAGAACAAAAAAATGCTTCCGCATATATGCAGATTTAACATTGTTGTGCTGATATTTAGAGTAATTATGAATATAATATGTGTTTTCAGCCGTGTATTACCTTCATTGGTGATCCAATGGATGGATCTGTCGTAGAGTTGTCACTTGTTTAGACGTACTTATCAAATATTTATTTCTGTGACTGTATCTTACGATCATTTACGATTGATATTTAGCTAATCTGCAATCAATTCTATCTTCATGCCTAATATATCATGTATTGTGTTACAATTCTAGATTCTGCTGACAAGGAAACGTACATGTAACACTAGGCCACCGAAAGCTGAATTATGAGTTCAGTCTAGGTAGCCGAGTGGTCTAGAGCGCTGGACACAGTGCAGGCGGTGTTGTCTCGATATCCAAATTGCATGAGTTCGAATCCCGGCGAGGGAAGAACAAAAATTTAATATATAAATAATTACTCTAAATATCAGCACAACAATGTTAAATCCGCAAATTTGCGGAAGCAAATTTTTGTTCTTCCCTCGCCCGGATTAGAACTCATGCTATTGGGATATCGTGACAACACCACCTACACTGTGTCCATCGCTCTAGACCACTCGGCCACCTAGACTGAACTAATAATTCAACTTTCGGTTGCCTAGTGTTACCTTTCCTCTTCAGTAGAATCTAGAGTTGTAACACAGTACATGATATATTAGGCATGAAGATGGAATTGATTGCAGATTAGCTAAATATCTATCGTAAATGATCGTAAGATACAGTCACAGAAATAATTCAATTATTTTGATAAGTACGTCTAAACAAGTGCCAACTCTACGACAGATCCATCCATTGGATCACCAATGAAGGTGATATAGGGCTGAAAATACATATTATATTCATAATTACTCTAAATATCAGCACAACAATGTTAAATCTACAAATTTGCAAAAGCAAATGTTTGTTCTTCCCTCGCCGCGGGATTCGAACTCATGCTGTTGGGATATCGAGACAACACCGCCTGCACTGTGTCCATCGGCCACCTAGACTGAACTAAAAATTCAGCTTTCGGTGGCCTAGTGTTACCTTTCCTCGTCAGTAGATTCTAGAGTTGTAACACAGTACATGATCTATTAGGCATGAAGATGGAATTGATTGCAGATTAGCTAAATATCTATCGCAAAGGATCGTAAGATACAGTCATAGAAATAATTATTTTGATAAGTACGTCTAAACAAGTGACAACTCTACGACAGATCCATCCATTTGATCACCAAATAGATCCATTTTTTACATCTGGTGATCAATTTATTTGGCAATCGCCAATGGCAGTCAGCAGGGTTTTAAGAACATCAGTTGTTCGACCTGTTAGTCAAATGCGTTTTGTTAAAATATACTTTTTCACTTTTTTGGTCTTTTGGAAAATGTTGTTTGTGCTGTTTTTAGACCCCTCTACCAAGAAATTTGTTTTACATGCACACGTATAAAAATTGCGGTTTTTATCCAACGGAATCATAGGTTTGAACGTTGTTTTCAATTTAGACTTGTTTATATTTTTTCGTTTGAGCTTGTATTATATTTTCCTTCGGGTTTATATGATCCGTTCATCCTATTTCGACTCTTTAAAATGCAAGAGTCTATCCTAAATTAAGGTAAATTATATGGCCTTCCAAATACCGTTTCGATCCCTAACATCACTGAAGAGACATTAATTGTCGAAATCCGGATATGGTGTACAAATTTTTGCACCTCATGTTTGCGGTATACCATCTTTTCCGCAAATTTATTGTTTTCTGTTTGGTATTAAATTAATATGTAAGATCCATTTTTTACATCTAGTGATCAATTTATTTGGCAATCGCCAATGGCAGTCAGCAGGGTTTTAAGAACATCAGTTGTTCGACGTGTTAGTCAAATGCGTTTTGTTAAAATATACTTTTTCACTTTTTTTGTCTTTTGGAAAATGTTGTTTGTGCTGTTTTTAGACCCCTCTACCAAGAAATTTGTTTTACATGCACACGTATAAAAATTGCGGTTTTTATCCAACGCAATCATAGGTTTCAACGTTGTTTTCAATTTAGACTTGTATATATATTATGATGTAAAATGAATCATATCAATCTATTCTGATTTAACTATAACAATCTTGAAATTGATACAATTAAAACCGAACACAAAAAACGCGTGTACAATTCTAAAATTTAAAAAATGACGTACGTTATATAGGTATTTACAACAGAGACTGCATAGATAACTTAAGCTTCTAATAAAAATAGTAATGTGCAGTTTGAACTGGTACATTTCTAAAATTTCAAAGGTAACGACAGTTAATATGTTACAACAAAGACTGCATGGAAATACATTCCCAATGAACAGCACTGACCGATCTCACGGTAGGTATAGTGTCCGGCTAGGATTGTGGTTTTTCGAGTGATTTAATCGGGTTTTTTCGAGTGTGACCTCTTTTTTTCGAGTGAATATGATCAAAAATGTAAACACTGATATCTATATCATTAATGGAAAGCTTAATACTAAAATATATGATAAAAGAGATGATTTTTCATTTCCTATCGTTAATTATCCATTTTTAGATGGTGACGTTCCCTTGTCACCATCTTACGGTGTTTATATATCTCAACTTGTACGATTCGCTCGTGTATGTAACAATGTTTTAGATTTTAACGAGAGAAATTTATTTATTACTGAAAAATTATTACACCAGGGTTTTCGATATCACAAACTAGTCAAAACATTTACTAAATTTTATCATCGGTATAAGGACATCATTCGTAAATATAGCTCAACATGCAGACTTCTTATACGTTCAGGTATTTCACATCCAATTTTTTATGGAAATATTCTTTATAAAGCACAAAAATGTCAGTATTCACCTCTGAAGCTAACAAAACCTTTAAATAGACTTATTAAGAAAGGATATAGTTACGATACTGTTGTCAGGTCATTAAAGATTGCTTATTTTGGCGTTAATATTGATTCACTTATAGGGTCTTTGCATCGGCACTAAACACATTTATTTAAAAACCAGTTGTTGGCATGACACGGGTTATGTTCTTCTCATATATGTTATGATGGTATGATAC